TAAAGTTTAAATTAAATTGTTATACATTTTTCACCGATTGTACACGGAACATCGTATAATAATATAATACAAAGTCACAGTTCGATGGTTTATTACGAGTAATAAAAAATAATATATTAAAATATAAAATATAATAAAATAATATATTAATATATTAAAATAATATGTTATACGAGTAATAAAAAATAATATATTAATATATTATTTTATTATATTTTTTATTATATTTTATATTTTAATATATTATTTTTTATTACTCGTAATAAACCATCGAACTGTGACTTTGTATTATATATTATACGAGTAATAAAAAATAATTAATTAAAGACAATATTTCATGGCCTCTATAGTATTATATCTGATCAAACGATCGTTTCGAAAAGAAGTGCGCAAATTTCGAGTATCTGGATGATCCTTAATTCGTTCAAAAAATTGTTAAAGCCACGATTTCCGGGCCACCGTGTGTCGTCAATACGTATTAATGGAAGATCCGAGCAATTACTTCGGAATTGGGGGCTATTTTTATCGTAGGATTATTTTATCTTTTATCAAGAAAGAAATCGAAAGGAATCTTTATCTTTTATTACAGTCTGCCTTTCAAAAGAAAAAATACATATACCCGTGTATCGATAGTTACGACAGTCGTCCACTCAACCCCAAGAGCGTAACATGCGAATTACAGAAATTGTAGGATTACAAGCCCCGCCCATATATGGAAGACACGGCTACATTTGTTTGACATGGTGTTCAGCGAGAGAGTAGGAAACAGAGATAATTGTTTATAGACTTACAGTACTCGAAGCGCATCCTATTATCTAAATCAATTAGATAAATATTGTTAAAAAGTGTTTTACAGAGATTTACCGCAGTGCTCTCTTGGTAAAATCGCGATGCCTCGTCGTACGGTGATCATTCGAGCTCCACCTGTCGGCGATTCGAGGAAATTTGACTAAGCGTTTACTAAGCGAATTCGTAAACGAGAAGAATTTAACCACAAGTATTCGGACGTCTGGTATGCATTCGCATAATTCCATGCAGAAATAAAGCTGTACTACACGTCGTGTTGTTTTACCGAAAAAAAACGTTGTACACCTGTTGCTTTACGAGTGTGTGAGTGAGTCACGTTCATCGCGGACGAAATGATCCTGATTAAAAATCTGTTTTTTTTTTTTCGGTAGATGTTTACAATGAATGAAACAGCGACTATGACTAGACATTAATAAGTGAACTTTTTTGACGCGATAAAGTAAGGAAAGCAGAACTTGTGCAACGGACGATGAATGACAGGGTTAACTCGTTTAACAGGTTAATGTAGCATTAACCTTTGGCGTCGCGTCAACTTGACCCAAAAAGCGATATTAAGTTTCAGTGACATATCACGCATTGCGGATTTCAAGATGTTATAGATATTATATCTTAAGATATTATAAGATAATTATATATTAATTATATATTATATCATTAATAAAAATATATATAATATAATATATAATATATATATATATATATATATATTATTATTATTATTATTAATTATATATTATAAGATATTATAAATAGATCTTAAGATATTATAAACCCTCGCATATTATTATATATTTGATATGTATGCGGTCACACACACACACACACACATAGCCGTTTCTTTTGAAAGTGGCCTAAATCCATTTTCCAAAAACATCCAAAAAAATCCAGAATAATGGATTTTAAATAAAATCCAGAATAACGGATTTTAGATAAAATCCAGAATAACGGATTTTAAATAAAATCCAGAATAATGGATTTAAAAATAAATGGACTTAGACCATTTTCAAAATAAACGGCACACACCTAATATACAGAACACGTTCAATAAACATCGATCTTTAGTAGGCATGAAAAATGGCTTAGCAGTAAATTTTCAGACCAAGGTAAGCTATTACGGTATTAGCGATAAAGTTTCTGTTACAATGCTTTAAGAGTGTTCTAATTAGGAGTGCTATTACGATTTATTATTAGAACAAATGCGTTGATGGAGAGTTGAACGAACGCGGTCGTATGAAATAACAGAAAGTCGCAATTAAGACATTTCTAAGAAGAATAACAATTTTTTTACACAAATCTGCGATACAATGAAACAACAACGGCCACGTTAACCTACGTGCTACATAAATGGACCGAAACCTATTACGATAAGGAAAGGTGCAGTGGTGCGATAACGAAACAATGACAAATTCGAGATAAAACGAAGTGACGCATAGGCATGGTCGATGATGAATAAGTTAATCGGATATTGTTTGTGGAACAAGACGTGGATATCTCGGTCTTGCAAAACCGTTTCCACTAAAAGATAAACACTGTCGTCCCGGTGAGATATAATCGCGAGGGAATCGTACATTGTATCGACGCCACTGTTGGAAGAACTTTCTGTTGCTACAAAAATAACCGGCTAGAACGATTTGCGATGTACATGTATAATTTTAATTTATCGGTCGATCATTAATATGCAATCATTGTGCAACCAGGGAATTAGCGAAGCCGGTATCGTAACTAATTGTGTGCCAAGTTTTGCGATTCTTTTAACGCTGAATATTGAAGAAAACAATGTTAACCGCTGTAGTGAACCTTTTGATTGTTTTCTTTCACAACGAACAAGTGAAACGACGCAATAATGAAAAAAACGTCTTTCGGCGAGATGATCACCGTGCTGTTGTTATACAGGGTGTCCTAAAAATGTCTCGCGATCCGAGAATGGGAGGTTCCCAAGGTAACTTGAAGTAAGTTTGTCCCTTGGCGAAAATGTAATCCACGGCTTTGTTTACGAGTTATCAACGAAAAAGTGTGACCAATGAGAGGCGAGATATGCTGGCGCAAGGCGGCCGAGCCAATGAGCGGAACCGGGCTTCGTGCGCTCATTGGCTCGGCCGCCGAGCGCTGGGCGAGCTCGCCTCTCATTGGTCAGTGTTTTTCGTTGATAATTCGTAAACGAAGCCACGGGTTGCATTTTCGCTAAGGAAAAAGTTACTTCAAATGACCCCGGGAACTTCTCATTTCCGGTATGCGAGACATTTTTGGAACACCCCGTACAAGTATTGCTTACTTCTAAGGATTTCGTCGTTGAATTATTGCTAATATTGCCAGCAAGTCAAACGGAAAAGGTAAGCAACATTAGGCGCTGTTTACACAGGTATTTGCCCGTACAATTTCATACCATGTGTACACACAGAGTCTATCGTTGAATTCTCGCTCGTGTATCCGCGTATCTTGCCAATGACGAATCGCGAAACGATTACAAGGCGCAGCGATGCATTGGTCTCCGCCTGCAATTTCCATAAACTTCATAGTTCGTCTAAATATTCATGCTGCGTATCTTCTTCGTAAGCCGGGGCGGAATAATTTTCATTTAACGTAAACGAACAGAGAGGCCGCGCGTAATTGTTCCCGAAGGCTTCGCCACCGTCGCGACGTGAATACCGCTTTCTGGAAACTACGCACTTCTGTTTTTCAAACCTGTTTAATCGACACACGCATCTTCGATTATGCTACACGATCTCCGATATCTATATGTATAGTTTCTAAATGTACCGTCCATATTAAAAAGAGTCATTCCAGATAATCATAGGTGGATCGTATCTTTTATTACCGTCCTTGGTTAAGACGTCTTATCTACCAATTTGACATTTTTCAGGATTTTTTAAAATATTTGCAACATCACGTACCTTTTGAACAAAGCAAAAATATTCTATATGCTTCAAATTCTAGTTCCAAATGTAATACAATTTATTTGTCTTCGCTTATTTCAAAATGGTTAATTTAAAGCTTAATTTTTTTGGATAATCAGAAATGTCAAGGTCATGTCCTTAATTAAGATGTTTTATCTACCAATTTGCCACTTTTCAGGATTTTTTAAAATATTTGCAACATCACGTACCTTTTAAACAAAACGAAAATATTCTATATACTTCAAATTCTAGTTCCAAACGTAATACAATTTATTTGTCTTCGCTTATTTCAAACTGATTAATTTAAAGCTTAATTTTTCTGGATCATCAGAAATGTCACGGTTATGTCCTTAATTAAGATGTCTTATCTACCAATTTGCCACTTTTCAGGATTTTTTAAAATATTTGCAACGTCACGTACCTTTTAAACAAAACGAAAATATTCTATATACTTCAAATTCTAGTTCCAAACGTAATACAATTTATTTGTCTTCGCTTATTTCAAACTGATTAATTTAAAGCTTAATTTTTCTGGATCATCAGAAATGTCACGGTTATGTCAAGTTTATATCAAGGACAATTCAATTAAGAAAGGTAGTACTTTTTAAACGGAACACAACTTCACGGACACCCTGTACATTGAATACACTATTTCGATCACGATCTCGGAAGAAAGTGAAACTATCACCGACCACAATTCAGACTCCTCGAGCATTAATTCTGTCAATTGGCACAATTGTACGGCCCTTTTATGATTTTCGGCGAGATAGTTCACCTTCGCGAGTAATTTATAACAGGATCCGCAGTGTGTCGCGGGGCGACACGGGCGATGGTTACGCTCTCGAGGAACGTGAGTGCGATGGATGCGCGAGCCCCGCTGCGCAGTGGCGACCGTAATGGTGCGCGGTGCGCGAGACAGACGTAGCGGTTGTTCGAACACGGCTGCGAAGTATAGTTCTCGTTGATACATTGCAGCGAGCATTTTGTCGTGGTGGTTCGGCTCTAACCCGTGACGGTTGAATCTGTGAGAATAGTGTCGCGCGATGCCAGTATCGGCCGTGATCACGGTGCCCATGTAGTGTTCGGTACGTTGCTTTGAGAACGACACACAACAGATGAATATTTGCGACCGCGTACGCGTGACTTAATCGAGGAAAATGTGGAGCCCGACGCACGTCCAAGTGACAGGTAAGATGTGTTAAGAGACAGCCCGCCGATACACGTACACGTCGAACGTGTACGTGGGATCGCCCGGCAGGTGGTTCGAACCGAGCCAGATGTACCGTAAACCGATTACCGATTCGCTTCAGCTGAAGCTAGGTTACGTGTGTGCTTCCTCCCCCCCGGTGAATGTAGGTGATCGAAGCCCCGCAATCTCGTTACGCCAGGTAAAGGCGATTAGTGGAGATTTGTTGTGTCGTTATCGATAGGTCGCGGCTCGGGAATCTCGCACGTTTGTGTTTTCGTGTCATCCGCGAGACGTCTACGGACGTGTTGGAACGACCTCGATTGTCGGCGGTAGGACCGACGGGGGCAGGTCAATTGCGATCGAGCGTAGAAAAATTCACAGTCGGCCGCGGCCAGAGTGCAGTGACGTTTTCGAATTCTGCCGAGTGGTGCAATCGCCGACGCGTCTCCGATGCGGAAAATGTGCCAAAAAATTGTCTTTCGTAGCGGGAAAGCGGGCCGTCGCCGTCAGGACCGTACCGTGGCGATCCTTCGCCCTCTACATACATACATATATTGTTTATTTACCCGAACCGCTCTAACCTAAAAACTGCTCGCTAAAAAGACGATGACGTTCGCATAGCTACGCCGATGTAAATATCGTTAGAGATTCGTTCCGAGCCGTCGTCGCATGGGAAACACGTTGCGATATTTTTTAGGAGATCCACTCTGTATCCGCGTGAAAAGAAGGCCTCTCGAGGAGCAAGCAGATTGGGAAGAGGCAGTGAAAACTCGAAATGCCTTCAGAGCACGAACATAGTTGCGAATCGAGAGGCGAGAAGATTGCGATCTAGCGTTTGCGTGCGCGCGTTTCAATCGCGTGCATGCAGGAACGTGATGCGAGAGCCCGTGCGCTCGCCTGTGTAGATGTATGCAGGTAACGATGATGCACATAGGTAGACAAAGCTGGTGAACTTAGCGAGACTGTAAAGATAGTCGACTTGGTAGTCAACAAAGGGTGTCGCGACAGGAAAGCGACACCGGTGCCATATGTAAATCGACTCGGCTGCACGTTTTTCTATTTCTCGCGACGCTCGATTACGTTTCGCAATGTTTACGAGACGATCCCTGAAGGGGGTTACGACCACATGACACGTTCACAGCGCGTCCAACTCCGTCGAATTGATTTAAAGGACTTTAGTCCCTTGCAAATGCTCGCGTCTCAGCCTAAAATAAAGATTGTCTATACAGGGTGTCCCAAAAATGTCTCGCAATCCGGTAATGGGAAATGGGAAATGGGAAACGGTTTTATTCCGTATTACGAGATACATGAAAAGCATTTACCAGTTTCTTAACATTTGAAATGCATACATACATATACAGGGTGTCCCGAAAAAGTTGCTTCAAGTGACTTAAGGAACCCACCACTTTCGGATTGCGAGACATTTTTGGGCACTCTGTATATTATACATACTTATATGTAATTAAGTATATATATAAAACTTGCAAGCATAATTAAAGTGTATATATATATATACTTTAATATATATCTCGCAATCTGGAAATAGGAGGTTCCTGAGGTCATTTGAGGCAACTTTTTTCTTTGCGAAAATGTTCTCCGACGCTTCGTTTACGAGTTATTAACGAAAAACACTGACCAATAAGAGGCGAGCTCGGCTGGCGCGCGGCGGCCCAGTCAACGAGTGCGCGGAGCCCGGTTCCGCTCATTGGCTTGGCCGTCTCGCTCCGAATGATCTCGCCTCTGATTGGTCACTGTTTTTCGTTAATAACTCGTAAACGAAGCCGCGGTTTGCGTTTTCGCTAAGGAAAAAGTTGCTTCAAATGACCTCAAGAATCCCCTACTTTCGGATTGCGAGACATTTTTGGGGACACACTGTATATCTTCGTTCTCTGTTGTTGCATGAAGAAATTTATTANATTTACCCGAACCGCTCTAACCTAAAAACTGCTCGCTAAAAAGACGATGACGTTCGCATAGCTACGCCGATGTAAATATCGTTAGAGATTCGTTCCGAGCCGTCGTCGCATGGGAAACACGTTGCGATATTTTTTAGGAGATCCACTCTGTATCCGCGTGAAAAGAAGGCCTCTCGAGGAGCAAGCAGATTGGGAAGAGGCAGTGAAAACTCGAAATGCCTTCAGAGCACGAACATAGTTGCGAATCGAGAGGCGAGAAGATTGCGATCTAGCGTTTGCGTGCGCGCGTTTCAATCGCGTGCATGCAGGAACGTGATGCGAGAGCCCGTGCGCTCGCCTGTGTAGATGTATGCAGGTAACGATGATGCACATAGGTAGACAAAGCTGGTGAACTTAGCGAGACTGTAAAGATAGTCGACTTGGTAGTCAACAAAGGGTGTCGCGACAGGAAAGCGACACCGGTGCCATATGTAAATCGACTCGGCTGCACGTTTTTCTATTTCTCGCGACGCTCGATTACGTTTCGCAATGTTTACGAGACGATCCCTGAAGGGGGTTACGACCACATGACACGTTCACAGCGCGTCCAACTCCGTCGAATTGATTTAAAGGACTTTAGTCCCTTGCAAATGCTCGCGTCTCAGCCTAAAATAAAGATTGTCTATACAGGGTGTCCCAAAAATGTCTCGCAATCCGGTAATGGGAAATGGGAAATGGGAAACGGTTTTATTCCGTATTACGAGATACATGAAAAGCATTTACCAGTTTCTTAACATTTGAAATGCATACATACATATACAGGGTGTCCCGAAAAAGTTGCTTCAAGTGACTTAAGGAACCCACCACTTTCGGATTGCGAGACATTTTTGGGCACTCTGTATATTATACATACTTATATGTAATTAAGTATATATATAAAACTTGCAAGCATAATTAAAGTGTATATATATATATACTTTAATATATATCTCGCAATCTGGAAATAGGAGGTTCCTGAGGTCATTTGAGGCAACTTTTTTCTTTGCGAAAATGTTCTCCGACGCTTCGTTTACGAGTTATTAACGAAAAACACTGACCAATAAGAGGCGAGCTCGGCTGGCGCGCGGCGGCCCAGTCAACGAGTGCGCGGAGCCCGGTTCCGCTCATTGGCTTGGCCGTCTCGCTCCGAATGATCTCGCCTCTGATTGGTCACTGTTTTTCGTTAATAACTCGTAAACGAAGCCGCGGTTTGCGTTTTCGCTAAGGAAAAAGTTGCTTCAAATGACCTCAAGAATCCCCTACTTTCGGATTGCGAGACATTTTTGGGGACACACTGTATATCTTCGTTCTCTGTTGTTGCATGAAGAAATTTATTAGAAAGATAAAATAAAGAATTTATATTTATTATTTATATATTTATAAATGGCATAACTTTGGCTATTTCAAGAGCTATGTACTACGGTGGTATGAACTTTTTCTCAGGAGCATTCTTCCATTAAATTTCAAAGTAATTTTTTTTCAAATGGAATCTTGTGCTCTTTCTTATTCTTGTAGAGGATACAAAACCACCGGAATATTCTCGATGGTTCTCGTCGCAGATTTTCCGACTTATCTGCGGATGGCGGTGAATGTCGTAACGCGGTCGATGTTGGCTTCCTGTTGTCCGAGACGGACTGCCAACAGGGACAGAGCGTATTTAAAACGCGCGCGATCATCCACGCCCCAGATACACGATGACTCAACCGATGAAAATTGGTCTGCGTGTTTCGCTCGATAGAATTTGAACCGGCGAACATCGGCGATCATGGCTGACACGAGAAGGAAGGATCGTCACCGGAGCTGCACGGTCTACCGATAACGAACGCTAGCCCTGACACGTTTTTACGTGTACTTCGTTATTTAGCTTTCTTCTAATTACACACACGCCGTTAATTAGAGTCCCGTGCGCGTTTACACGCGGTTGACAAGTTCCCAGGGCTTTCGTTTCCATGCAAAATAGGTAAAGCGTGAAAGCATGCGTTGAAGCAGCTGATGCTGCCCCCTCCCCTACTTCGCGTCCCTGTGCTTGGGTCCTCCGCGCAGGGCCGTAACTGTACCCCGTAGGGCCCGTTGAGTTCTCACCTTGACCCTTCTGACAGCAGCTGTGTTCGTTTTTATGGTTTCTTATGCGCGCAGTATGCGAAGCGATTCTTCGTCGAATATCGATACTCTCTTCCAATTAACATAAAATTCAAATTAACTCTCGGACGAATTCGCAGGATTGAAATTATTCGAAAGTTTCGTCGAATTTCCTGGTTGGCAGGACAAGTGCGGATGAAAAATTCTCAGGCACGATACGCATCGCGGTATCCTTAGTTAATCAACATGGTGGCTGCAGTCCCGAACCGTTAAGAATGCATCTTTCAGGGGAAACGGTATTTGGATGCAGCAAGGCAGAGGCTTCGCGGCTCAACCGATCGAGTCGTGGAAGAATGCTGCGAGAGAGTCGATTTTCCCATCCAGTAAACTAGACTCTTGTTATTGTGCCTCGAGAAATGGAATAAGAAACCGATACATTGCTCGCCTGCTGATCGTGAGACCGCGCGAGACAATGTCGTGTATTTTTAGGATCTTTGCCGGAACTGTTTTACCGACGTTCCAGACTCAGCTTCCGACTCCGTGTAACATAGTTGAAACCTCTCTTTACGCCAAGTTGCAAAATTGTGGTTAAATATAAAACAATTTTAACACCTTGATACTATAATTCCGAGTGTTACAATTCTCGAGTATTACTTACAATTTTCTTTTTTCGATTGGAAAGTAAAGGAACGTAACATATACCGTTAAACATTCACGAAATAGGACGTTGAAGGAAGAAGGTTAGATTGTTTTGCGGCTTGAAAAAATATCTACAATGTCGTACTAAAATAGCAAAAAATATAATGATAATAGTGACGGTTAGAAACTACATGTTGGACGAAAATAGCGATGGATAGAAAGAACGTAATAGGCGAAACTAGTGATGTACCAAATGCGGTTTCGCGGTAAGAATTCCGAGGAACAATGGGGCGGCAACCGATAGTGTTAAACGCTTTTAGTGTGATAGATAAGCGCGTGTGATTATGCTCGCCGGGCATAACGCAGCACTTTTCTGCAAAACATTATCCTAAAAGTTAACCGAGCGACTTTCGTCGCTCTCGAAGGAAAGAGAAACTCGCGTAGGATGAAGAACCGCCGCGCTAGTTCACCAACGATCCCAATAATCTGTCGAAATTTAGCCGTCCGTTATCCGAAACAGGATCTTCGGGCTTCTCTTCACGCTCCGATCGAGTCGCATTAACGTTTTATCGCGCGTGACGCGCATACGTCATGGATGTATCTTCGACGACGCCTACGTTTGTTTATCTCGTTTTCGAATCCCAATGGATCTCTGGCTCGGCGATCGGTGCATCAGAAGAAAGTTCGATTATGCTCTTACGTCTATGGTACGAATGTTTCGATTGTTTATTACTTCGTTTTAACCTTTTAGGCACGACGCGCCACTATAGTGGCTTGCTCTAGTAGCTCACTCGCTCATCGTTTGAATCAAATAATCGTCTTCATATGCATTGTTCCACACTTCTTTTGTCTTCACATCGATTTACAACAGTCAACAGGGTGTCCCAAAAATGTCTCGCAATCCGGAAATGGCGGGTTCCTCGGATCATTTGAAGCAACTTCTTCCTTTACAAAAATGTTCTCCGAGGCACCGTTAACGAGTTATTAACGAAAAACAGTGACCGATAAGAATCGAGTACGGCCGACGCGAGGCGGTCCAGCCAATCAGCGCGCGAAGCCTAGTTCCGCTCATTGGCTCGATCGCCTTGTGCCAGCTGAGTTCGCCTCTCATTGGTCACTGTTTTTCGTTAATAACTCGTTAACGGTGCCTCGGAGAACATTTTTGTAAAGGAAAAAGTTGCTTCAAATGGCCTGAGGAACCCGTCACTTTTGGATTGCGAGACATTTTTGGGACACCCTGCATATATAGACAGAATATACAGTATTAGACTCTGTACAGTACACATTAAACTCTGCCGTCCAGAGAAATAGCCGTGCGCAGAATTCAGCCGTACCTAAAAGGTTAAAACCGAGCTCCGACCAGAGAAACAGAAAAAGGTTTGCTCTTCGAGAAGCAACGCATTAGGAAAACCGCGTAAAGGTGCTACTTGCAAGTTAATTATCAACCCGAGTCCCTCGTTCTCTTACCGGTTACTAATTGGCGGCTTTCTTTGTTTGCAGTTCAAAGAGCAAGAAATCTATTGACCAAGGGAAAACACAGTAAGTATTGTCCCGCTTTGAATAACAACGTCCTTGCGGTTTCGTTGCTGCCTTCGAAGGGGATCGCATTTCAAAACAATCCGCGTCAAGTTTATTTTTACGACGGCGCGGCCGCGTTACAATTTTTTTTTGCGAACAAATCGAATTTTGCGAGGAACACGCAACGCTCGCCCGCGTAATCCTTGCGTAATATAATTCGTTAAAGCAAAGCATAGCGGGCTCTTAGAGGCCTGTTTGAACTGGCCACCAACCGCTGTCACGCCGGCTAATTTCTCTGTATTTCATTTCGGTGTACGCCTATGAATCAGTATTTGCTTGCAGCTTTGCACTTTGGAGTCACCTTCGGCGCGATAACAATGCTTTCTTCCGAATCTATTGAGTCATACTTATCCGGCATAACAGTACACACCAAAAGTATTCGAAGAAGAATTTAAATCAGGCTAAACTTTTAGTCTAATCTTACTTATCACGGCCGCGACTGCATATAGAGTGTTACGTAAGTCGCGAAGAATAAGTCGAAAAACAAATGCAATTTTTTAACAGGATTCTCTGTTTTCGAGGAAACAAACTTTCCGAGTCGGTCGGAGACCAGCCGTGAATACACGAAGTCGGTCAATCTCTGTATCACGACTTACGGGGCACCCGGTACATGATGCAGCGAGAGACAGCCGCTAATTAGCAACACAAATAAAGTGAAAACAGTTGGCATTCAGAGAACTAGATTTCTGTATTAACCCTTTACACTCGAATGGCGAGTCTGAGACGTCGCTAAAAATTGCTATATATTTATAATTAGCTAATGTATATAATTATATATTATATAGCTAATATATTTATTTTATTTATTCATATTATATAGCTATAATTATATATTATATAGCTAATATATACAGGGTGTCCCAAAAATGTCTCGCAATCCGGAGATAGCGGGTTCCTCGGATCATTTGAAGCAGCTTCTTCCTTTACAAAAATTTTCTCCGAGGCACCGTTAACGAGTTATTAACGAAAAACAGTGACCAATAAGAATCGAGTACGGCTGACGCGAGGCGGCCCAGCCAACCAGCGCGTGAAGCCCAGTTCCGCTCATTGGCTCGGTCGCCTCGCGCCAGCCGAGCTCGCCTCTCATTGGTCACTGTTTTTCGTTAATAACTCGTTAACGGTGCCTCGGAGAAAATTTCTGTAAAGGAAGAAGTTGCTTCAAACGACCCGAGGAACCCGCCACTTTCGGATTGCGAGACATTTTTGGGACACCCTGTATAATTAGCTATATATATTTAATAAATTTGTTTACATTGAAAGAATAATTAAAAGTGTAGTTATTTTGCGAGCGACTAAACCGACCTTCATATGCAAACAATACAAAAATAATACAACATTCGAAGGAATATCTTAAAGTTGGAACAGCTTCGAGTGCAAAGGGTTAAAATCACCGGAGGAAAAATGTAGCGCGTTCAGGGGCGACGAGAAGGTGATTTCAATGCAATGGCGATCAAGTAACAAGATCGGCACCGTCTCCCACGAGATTTAATATCCGTCACGTGGCACAGCTAATTCTGACCTTGTTGACCGTCTCCGGCGCCCACGCAATCTCACTTGAACTTTAACAACGCAGAAACCAACGATTGTTTCGTGACGATCGCCCTCGGTAAGGAGAAGTATCAGACCTCTGTGAAGGAGAAGGCCGCGAGGGACGTAGAATGGCACGAGGAATGCGAATTAATTATCCCGGAGCAGGGGAACACCGCGGAAATCGTGCTGACAGCCCTTCATCGTAATTTCCTGGGTGTCGACGAGTTCCTTGGCACCATCAGCATACCTTTGTCCAGCTTCGACGTCTACGAGAGACCCAGGAACAGATGGTACGTGCCACGGGAGAATCGCGCGCCGGCTTTTTCTCGTCCTAACCGTGGAAAAACCTTTCATTTTCCTGCCTTCTCCCCTCCCCTCCAGCTCTTCTCGTTGAAAGTGGAGTTGTTATTGGAATTATGGCGCGCATCCGTGTGGCGCATCCTACAGCGTAACGTTCACGTATGCGCACAGACACGTGCGCACGGTTAGGAAAGTATGTGCCGCGAGTGAACGCATAGCGGTATACCCGCGTATGGTATTTTGGAAAGTTGTAATAATCGTTCGGGAGATTTCCGTCTCGCGGCCACTTGTTCTGAAACGAACAACAAGACCAACTTCTTGAGAAAGTTAACCCTTTGCGCTCGAAGCTCATTTTAACCGTAAATATAAAATCATCTTTCTAACTCGTAGTATTTTTATTTTATATTGGGTTGGCAACTAAGTAATTGCCGATTTGTTCAATGAAATAAAAAATTCTTTTTTACTTGGAATGAAGTTTAATCTGTAATGTATTTTCCATTTTGTTGGATGACCTTTTGCCATCTCTTTGACAACTTGAAAATTCCACGCTCGTAGAAAGTCTGATCCTTTTCGGCCAAAAACTGAGTTAAGTGAGATTTTACAGCGTCATTATCGTCAAAAGTTTTACCACGAAGGGAGTTGTCCAGGGATCGAAATAAATGGTAATCCGATGGCGCGAGATCAGGGCTATACGGTGGGTGTAACATCAATTCCCAACCAATATCCATCAATTTTTGCCGAGTGGACAAAGACGTGTGCGGCCTAGCATTGTCCTGCTGGAAAATGACACCTTTACGATTGACCAATTCTGGTCGCTTTTCCTTGACCGCTGCATTCAATTTGTCCAGTTGCTAACATTCACGGATAATAAAAAAAAACATAATAATAATAATAATAATTTTATAATATAACATTTGCGGATATCATAAAAATGGGAGTGAGAGACATCTATAACTGAAATCGGCAATTACTTAGTTGCCAACCCAATACTATAAAACGCATTTTATGCACATGAAATTGACTCTTGGGACTCGCGCAACGGTTATACTCTTAACAATTTTTTAAATCTGAACTTTCTTGATATAAAAATTATCTTAAAATGTGGTGCAACGAATTTTAGCGGTGCCTCAGAGTCATCACTCGAGTGCAAAGGGTTAAAAGAACACGAAAAAATATATGTAAAGCAAGAAATGAGCCGTTTATTTTGAAAGTGGCATAAGTCACTTTACCGTAATGAAAAGTGGTGATCTTTTAATGTTTATACGAAATTATTTATACTGAGAAAAATATCAGTATACTGAGATAACAAATAAATAAATATAATAATAATTATTAATTAATTATAATAATAATAATAAATATAATAAATCTTCTCGAAAGTTAGCGTCCATATTTTTAAACGTGTTAAAACGCAAAAATATAAATAAATATATATTATATATATTATTATATATATTATATATATTATTATAATTAAATATATCGACTTAAAAACAAAGTGACTTACGCCACTTTCAAAATAAACGGCTCAAATGTGATCGCTCAGAAAAGTCTGATTCACAGCGTGACAGAGGACCGATTTGGCACTTTTTGCTTCTAAGAACTTGTTCCGTCGATATTTTAACGACCGTTCGCTATCAGGTACACCCTCGGAAGTAAACCGGGCAAGGAGAATACGAAGGAGCGCGGCGAGCTCGAAGTGAAGATCGGATTCATCGTGAAGGCAGGCAGCTTGACAGATTTGAGTCACAAAGAGCGGCACAAGAGCTCTTTGGGACAACTATCCAACGCCGCCCATTCGATCGGCGGAAGTTTGCTGAGCATAGGAAGCCTGGAGAAACGGAAAGGCCTGAAGAAGTTGGCGAAATCCATCGGCAATCGCGTGAAAGGAAAAAGCAAGCATAATCTTGACAAAGAGGACGGTTTGGACGAGAGGGACGAGCGGAAGTTTCGAACTCCCACCAAGCAACAACCTGGCGAGGCTGATCCCGGTGTAATCAGCGAGGACGAGGACGAATTTACGGTAATTTTTATAATTTTTATAACCATGAATTAGAAACGATGAAGCGATTTGACAACGTTGCATTTCTGTTTTTCTAGTTCGACGACCTGTCGCACAAGAGTTCGGCCTCGTCTTTGAATGCCCCTGTCGTGGGCGGCAACAGTAACAGCGTGGTTTCCGTTTCTTCGAGCGTCTCTTCCGGCAATCATTCTAACGAGGCCAACCACCCACCGCCTGCGCCAGCTAACGCAGCGCCCAGCAAACCGCCTAGATATTCTATGAGCGCATCCACCACTTCTTTATCGAAGGTCGATAACACCAAGGACGACGAGTGGGGTCTGAAACTGTACGGGAAACAAACCCCTAATAACGTTAAACGGTACGAAGCAAGTCATAAATGATGACCGCGAATCTTAATGCGAGATAAAAATTGTTCGCATCAATTGCAAGACGTAGGAGCCAAGTGCAATCTTGTTTAATAAGTTGTAATTAACGCTAAACCTACCAAGCAGTAATACTAACTGGCATGTACTACTTCACAAAAGCGAGAAGACCGAATTTATTTAGAATTTGTAAAGTTTTTATTATAATACTTGCTCCAATAATATATTATTATATAATATATATGTTATATAAGTTATAACTTATATTATATAAATATATGTATAACGCTTATATATATGGAAAACGCTTTAAGTTATAACTTATATTATATATATATATATATATAATATACGTTATAACTTAAAACGTTTTCCACGAAAGAGTCTCGGAACTTTGCAGAATTGCAAACTAAGAAAGCGGTCGCTTTGACTGCGGTAGGTTTAGTGTTAACATATCCACGTTATTAGTTTCTTGTAATTTTATTACTATTCTATGCTTCACCTATACATTGTTCCCCATAGATGTATAAAATCCGCGGTCCAGTGATAACTTAATATGACTATATTCTTGAAACCCTAATCTTTTAGGTTTAAAGTTAAACCCTCTTGGTTTTAAAGTTTTTCTTAACTCCACGAAGAAATGACAAAGTTTCTGATAAAGCAGGACCGTTCTTTCAGATGGGAGAACAAGCCAAGTCCAAAGATCGTGATCGACGAGCCGAAAGAGGATCATCGCGAAGCGTCACCGGTTCGTTCACCGTCGTTGACGACCTTGAGATTTCAAGAAACACCGGAGCCGCCGTTACCAGCGCCGCGTGAAGTCCTGCAGAACAAGAACAAAGAGGAGAGACCCGTGTCGAATAAAGATAAGAGCGCGAAAGAGGAGAAACTGAAGGAGAAGAAGGAGGATCGATATGGTTGCTGGAGTCCCAAGGACGACAAACAGTCGAGGAAAGACAAGAAAAAGGAGAAAGAGAATAATAAACTGAAGGAGCTGAACGACGATAATAATCATTTGTCTTCGGAAAGAATCATCATCGGCGGCGAGGACGCGATTCGAAGCACCATCACTGGAAAGAGCCACCTGCCGCACGAGGTTCTTTCTCAGTTTGATGGGAAATCGAGAGAGGTAATTACAAGCTTGTTCTCCATACCATGCTCTTGTTCGTACCACGTTAATTGTTCTATTTCATTGCAGGACTTGATAGAGCTAACGCTGCAGCTGCAGGCGGAAGTGATGCAGAAAAAGAAGCGTTTGAACGATTTGGAAGATTACATAGACGCGTTGTTGTTACGTGTTATCGAATGCTCGCCACGCTTGCTGCAGAATCCCTATCAATCGCAGAGACGTTTGTCGTCGCCCGGACATCAGTAGACAATTAAAAATGTTCTTCCATCTGGTGGTGTTTCCTGATGTCGAGATCGATTACATCTCCCGGCGTGATTAGTGATAATTGCCTAGCGCCCGTTTCGATCCGTTCCGGTCGTTAACATTTGCGCACGTTTGACTGCTGCTGCCGTGCAACCATTTTTATTTTACGAACCACGCGCTTTAATTTATTTTCGACTAACAATTAGGAACCGTAACTCTTAAGTAATGTTGCACATAGGCGTTATCGTCGTTTGTCGTTGCTTTCTCCTGATTCTAGAGACTCTCGCGAAACGTTTAATGTTTTCTTCGTTTTGTTATCGTTCGAATGAAGTATTTTAATTGTAAGATTGTACGAGTTCGAAACAAAAAAAAAGAAAAAGGGCAAAGGAAAGGTGCGACATTTGTGCCAACCGCTTTGAAATGTGGGAAAAAAAGTTGCGAATACTCCCCTAGTCTTCCCGAAAGAGAGAGAGAGAGAGAGAGAGAGAGCGAGAGAGAGAGAGAG